AGAGACACAGAATCAGAAGCAGGCTCCAGGCTCTGAGCTGTCAGTGGAGAGCGCGACACAGGGCTCGAACTCACAAGCCATGAGCTCATGACCTGAGCTGAAGTCAGACGCTTAACCGACTGAGCCACCCAGGTGTCCCGACTGCTTTCATTTTTATACCTACTCCCCATGATTTAAAAACTGTTCTTTAAGGAGCACATGCTGCATTTTTATGTTGCTTTATAACCATTATGTTGCTTTATAAGGACCCCCTTTTAACGTCAGATTTTTAAAGCAAGAGAGTAGACCAACGTCTTGGGAGGTTAATTTGCTTGTCCAAAGTCACACCGCCACTAATTCAACAGATTTGAGTGGTGCCTTCTCAGATGCCAGGTGCTGTTCTGAGCCCCAGGGAGGCAGCAATGGACACAGACAGCTGGACTACACTTCCCAGCCTCCCCTGCAGTGAGGCGTGGCCACATGGGTGAGTCTCCCCATGGTAATGGGAGCTATCTTATAGGGCACATAGAATCCAGCTTGTTTTTCTTCCCAAGTCACTAATTAGAACACTGCCAGGACCCAGAAACACCCTGTGTACCCCACCTCTCTTAGAGGTAGCCAGTAAGCTGATTTTGCAATAATCATTTTCTGGCTTTCCACATACCTTCCTCCGCACTCCTAAACAACACAGTTGGTTTGCCTGTTTTTGAGCATTCAACGATTGCATTCATTCTTCGTGTTTTGCTACCACTCTCGACGTCTAGATTTATCCATTCTGTTGCCTGAAAGCGGAGGTCATTCTCACGAAAGGATATTATTCCAGCATATGAATTCTACCATTGACACTCGGGATGTCTTGTTTATCATGAACAACTAAGATGCTAAGACATCCGCATCCTCTGATGCACGTGCACACCACTTTCTCCAGGGCAGATGCCCAATGAAAATGAGCAGCTCTTAGCTCATTTGTGTTCATGCACCCTTCTCTGTGTGCATCTGCAAGATGATTTGCATTTCTGTATTTTCTGTTCTCTTATCTGCCCTTTTCTTATGGTAGGGCTTTATACACCCTGGATATTAATTAATGGGGTGGTTAAATGTGTTGCAGATATGTCCTTCAAGGTTGCAGCACCTTTTCTATTTCCTTCATGGCATTTCTCTGATGAAGAGAAACTCATAATTTTTAATGTAGTCTCATTTATCCACCTTTTCTTTAACGGTTTTAACTTTCCATGCCATCAGAAATCTTTGCCCACCCTGAAATCCAAAAGATATTCTTTTCTGTTTTCTAAAAGTTTTCAAGTGTTTTTTTTTTTTTAACTTCACTTATAAATTTTAATCCATCCAGAAATGCTTTTTTTTGTATGGTGTGAGGTAGGGCTCCGGTTTCATTGTTTCCATCTAGATAGCCAATTGTTTCGGTACCATTTATTCAACAGACCATCCTTGCCTCCGGTGATCAGCAACACCACCTTTCCCAAAAACCAAAGGTTTTTGTGTGACTAGGTGGCTCAGTCAGTTAAGCATCTGACTCTCCATTTCTGCTCAGGTCACGATCTCAAGGTTGTGAGATCGAGCCCCCTGTCAGGTTCCATGCTAGGCATGGAGTCTGCTTAGGATTTTCTCTCTCCCTCTTCTTCCATCCCTCCCCCACTCAATCGCATGCCCTCTCTCTCTCTCTTTTCAAATGTCTTTGAAAAAAAATCAAATGTCTTTATATGCATCAATCTGCTTCTGGCCTCTCTATTATGTTTCATTGGTCAATTTCCCTAGCCCTGCACCAATACTACACAGCCTTTAATTCCTATAGCTATATGATAAATTTATTTCTTGATCTAGATAAACCATTTAAGGATTCCAGGTTAGAAATTTAAAGATCAGCTGGTCCAACCATCCATTGAAAAACAAAGGCTCAAAGGGGGAAAGCATCTTTTACAGTATCACACAGCACATAACTAGGGACCCTGTTAAGAGCTGAATGTCTGTGTCCCCCCCTAAAAAAAATCTGTATGTTGAAACCTAACTTTCAGTGTGATGGCATCTGGAGGCGGGACCCTTAGGGCATAATCAGGTCCAGCAGGTAGAAGCCCTTCTGAATGAGATTAGTGCCTTTATAAGAGGCAACCAGAGAGCTAGCTCCTTCTCTATCACATAAAAATACAGTAAGTCTGTAGTCTATAACCCAGGAGATGGCCCTCACCAGAACCCAACCATGCGGGCACCTGATCTCGAACGTCTAGTCTCCGGAACTATAAGATGTAAGTTTCTATTGTTTATAAGCAACCCAGTCTACGGTACTTTGTTACAGCAGCCCAAAATGACTAAGACAAACACCCATCTCTCACCCTGGAAGATATTCCTGTGCTATTTAATATGGCAGCCACCGGGCATATGTGGCTATTGAGCCCTTGAAATATAGCTAGTCCGAAGTGAGGTGGGTCCTAAGTATAAAAGACACAAACAGATGTCAAAGACTTGAGGTGAGAACAGAATGTAAAAAGTCTCATGAGTAATTCACTTACATTGATTATATGTTGAAATGATAACACTTTGCGTATCAAGGATTAACAACAACATATTCTAAGAACTCATCTCACCTGTTTTCTACCTTTCTATGACAGCGAGATAGAAAATCAGCCACACACTCAACGGAACAGCTACTAAAAACTGTAGAACTATATACGTGGCTTGTATGACGTTTCTCCTGAATAGCACTGGGTCACGCTATTAAATCTGCTCAATCAAGAAGCCTGCATTAGGGATTTAACTTGTAGGCAGCACCACAGTAAGGGCCATGCAATGAGGAAGGGAACAGAAATAGTTCTAACTGATGTGCTCTACTTCCCCACTGGACTCCTCACCCGTAGAAATGGCATCAGCCCAAGCATGAAAGGAACAAAGCTCATGGTCCAGCCCCTGACCCAGCTGGAGAGCTCTATCCCAGTTAGGGAGGGCTGCACCAGTGTCCAAATCTAGACATCAACGACCAAGCCTCCCGTCCTCTCACAAATCAACCAGAGAGGTTCAGACACCTACCCGAGACCACATAGCAGCTGCACGACAGATGAAGGCCCACAGTACGGGCTTCACAGCTCCCTCCCTGCATGTTTGCCAATGTGGCCTCCTGTCCCAGGCTTCCCCCTCCCCTTTCGAGGAACCCTCCACCAATTTAGACCTCACCATAGCAAAAAAGGACCCTCGAGAACAAGCCTTTGAAAGTCCAAGCGTCCATATCAGAGAAGATCCCATGGATTTGAGCAGCCAGTGCCTCCCACCTTCCAGCCAAAAGAAACCAAAAACCAAAAACCAACCCCACAGGAACTCCCCCGTGCATCCGTCTTTCCTAGTAGGACTCCCCAACTTTATGAAGGAGAAAAGGAACCCCCCCCCCCCAGGAAATGGAAGGTGAGACTGAGAGGGGAAAGCCCTAGTCCTGCCTCCCCACCTCCGATGCCATGCTCAGCCTGGACATCTGTGATCACGCTCTGCTGTCTGACCAGAATGGGTACAGACCTCATGGGGACGAGAACCCTCGGTAAGTGCCAGGAGACGGCGAGCCACGTGGATGTGGGTATCAAAACTGATGCCAACCCGTCTCAAAATCACCACCTTCCCCTCCACCCAGAAGCAGGACACCTGAGGGGGAGGGCAACACATCAGGTGGGCGCTCTCTTGGTGCCCAGGCAGGAGGCAAAAGCCTTGGGGGCTGCGATCCCAGAACTGCCTGCCCTTCCTCAAGACCCCCAGGGGCGGAAGGCAACTGCAGGAAAGGGTTTTCGCGCCAGCTTTCAGGCGAGTGGACCCCACAAAATCTTAGAGAAACTTAAGAATTATGAACTTCCCCATTCAATGTGTACTTAGTCCAACAGGAGCTTGACTCCCACTCAGCAACTGGGTGGGAGTATCTGTCCTCACCATTTTAGGAGAAACTGAGGCTCAGGGGTGACCACAAACCTCACACCGGGAAAAGGCCAAGATGTACAAGCAGCTCTTCCCGGGTCCTAGGCCTCAGTTTCCCCACCGAAAAAGAGCAGTTCATTCATTCCTCCCGCTTGCTACGAGCGTGGTCAAGGGTTGGGGGGTGGGGGGGGGGGGGGGAAGGTGTGATGCGGGGGTGGAGGGGGGTTGACAGGAACGGTACGGCGGCGGGGTGCGGGGGACAAGGGCAGTGCAGGGGGTAGTGGGGGAACACGGGTGGTGCGCGCCAGCACCTTTCACGTTAACAAAAACGCCGGAGAGAAATTGAGCGATTACTCTGCTCCGGGCGCCATTCAAAGTGCTCTCGAGAGTGCCTGTCACTAATCCTCACGTGGTCCCCAGGGATGGGACGTTCATTATCCCCGTTTTGGAGACCTGGAAATTGAGGTTCAGGGAGGTGAAGCGACTCGCCTCAGGACTCGCCGCCAGGAGAGGAGGCGCCGGGAAGCCGCGCTGCTCCCGGGTGCGGGGCGCACAGCTGGGCGCCGAGACGCTCACAAAGACCACGAAGTCTCCGTTCTGGTTTCTTCCGGCCGAGCTTAGGGTGCATCTATGAACTCCAATTCTCCGGGCGGCGCGGGGAGCCAGCCCGGCGGCGCGGAGCCGGGAGAGACCCTTGGCCACCCCTCCCTGCGCGCGCCCCCTCCGCGCGCGCCCCCTCCTCGAACGCCCCCTTCCGGAGCGCCCCCTCCCCACGTGCCCCCCTCTCCCTGCCATCCCCCACGCGCCCCCCTCCCTCGCGCCCCCTCCCCGCGCGCTCCCGCCCTCACCTCGCGTACTTCGTCTTCTGGAAATCCAGGAGCCGAGGAGCGAACATCGCGGCGGTTCCATCGGCACCCAGCCCGGGGCTCCGACAACCGGCGCTGGGACGGAGCGCGGGAGGGAGGGAAGGAGGCGCGGGGCGCGGGAGCAGCAGGTAGGCGGGCGCAGGGCGGGGGCCGGCCGGGGGGCGCGCGGAGCCCGAGCTGGAGCCGAGCCGAGCCCGAGCCCGAGCCCGAGACGCCGACGCCAAATCCCGAGCAGATGGTGGTGGGGGCGGGGCGGGGGGGCTCCGGGCCAATCGCCTTAGTCCCCGCGGCCTCGGCCCCCTCCCCGTGCCCTGCGGAACCCTCCGGCCTTCGCTGGGGGAAGGAGGAGAGATGGGGAAGGATGGGGGCTTCGATTGCAGCCCCTTCTCTCTCTCTCTCTCTCTCTCCCTGTCCCGGTGTCCCCTCCGCCGGTAGTTTTCAGAACGAGGTGACGGCCTGCTAGACGGAGCCCCGCTGTCTCCCCCGCTCCTCCCGGCCGGGGCTGGGCTGGGCTGGGAAGGGAGCGAGGACACTGATGGCGCGCCAGCCGTTCAGGCCCCTGGCGTCGCTGGCCCCGGAGTGTACTTGTAGCTCACGCTTCCCCCGCGGCCAGCGCCTCCTGCCTTTCTTTGAGCGCCTGCGAGGCGCGACGGCCCCAAGGGATCCGCCCGGGAATGGCCGCAGTCTCCGGGGAAGCTCTCCACTCCCAGAGACTGTGATTCTGGGCCCCCTCACGATCCCCCAGACAGGGGTACGTGCATTTGGCTGTCGGATTCCAGCGTACCCGGAATCTGCCCACCCGCCTCGGTTCTTCTACAAAATCCAGTGGTCTCCTTTAGGAGACCTTGGCCCGGGTGATGGGTTGTGGGGAACCACCTACAGGAAGGGACTGCTGGAAGCAGAACAGCCCTCAACCTGAAAGGACCCGTGCCCAAATTGAAGGGCAGGCATCTCCTTCTCCCCCTCCTCGCCCTTCCCTTATGCTCACAAACCCCAGCTCCCTGCTACTTTTTATAACGCTTTATTCAAGAATCCTGCTACACATCCAGAAAACAATCCCACCCTACAGAATTCATTTCTGCACTCCAAATGCTGGGCGCCAGACGGGCTCAGATACCCAGTGTTGGTGAGGACAAGAAGGGTTACAGGTGATGCATTCACAGGGGGCAGCAGGGCTACTGGGGGGCGGGGGGGGGCCCCGGGGGGGGGGCGGGGCAGGCAGGGCTGCAGGTGGGGACCAGAGAAGGGGTATAGGGATGTTTATGAGACCTAGATGGATTTTATCCACCAGGCCCTGTTGATGGATTAGAAGAGGAGGGCGACTACTGGGCTTCTGGCTGGCCCTGCTGAGTGGGTACTGATGACATTAAGGGTGTGGGGGCAGGGGGAGGAGACCAGAGGAGAAGCAGCAGGGAAGGGAGGTGAAGGAAGATGTGACCTCAGTTTTGGCCAGGTGAGTTTGAGGTCAAGGTGGGCATGAGTATAAGGTCAAGGGCTAGATTGGTGAGCCAGAGGGTCCAGTAGGGCAGCAAGCCCACCCTGCGAGGAGGAGCTGGGAGGGCAAAGCTGGAAGGCCCCTTGGATCTGCAGATTTCGAATCGCTCATCTCAACCTACCAGCCACCAGCCTCCTGCATCTGTTTATTTCTACATTAAATACAATGAAATGCAATTTGAAACGCGGTTCTTTACTCACGTGAGCCACATTTCCAATGCTCAACAGCTACATGTGACCAGTGGCTGCCGTATCAGACCACTTCCAAATGGAAGCAAGTCCCAGAAGACCAGGAAGTCACCCCAGGTGGGCAGCGAGCAGAAAGAGAAGAGACGTCCGGTCCGGAGTGCATTGTGCTGGGAAGACTAAGTCACGTTCAGGCAACTTTTGTCTCAGTTGTTTGAGTACATTTTGTGTCCTGGTTGGCATGAAAATGTATTCTTACTGGGAGTCACAGTGAGGAATGGGCGAGGCTCGAGGCTATAGTGACCAGAGTCTCCTGTCTCCTTGGTGGAGGAGGGAAAGAGGCTGAGAGGGACCAGGGGACCCACCCACAAGTCACACAGCCAGAGGAGCTGTTCTGGAGCCCAGCTTCCCAGGCTCTGAGTTCTGAGCCTGCATTTCATGGCTTCTTCCCTGACCTTGACCTCTATCACCATTGTTATGACCCCCCCCCCCCCACACACACATACAATAAAGGACTGCCTTGTGGTCAGCCCCACCAGGGCACACCTGTCCCCGGGTCAGCCATACCTCCTCCTCAGTCCTCAACCTCAATTCCCAAAAAGGTCCCTTCAGTCTTTATAAAAGAGAAAGCCCCAGAGGCCTGACCTCCCCGTGGCCCCCTCCTCCCTGGCCTGGAGCATCGGCTGTTGACTGCAGCTGCCCTGAGGCTGAGGGGAGCCACAGGTGTGGGACCAGACCTCCCCAGGCTGCAGGCCTGCTGGCCTCCTCCGGCCCCAGCCTGCTGTTGACCTTCAGTGGGTCTTGGCAAGGCACTCAGCAAGGCCCCAGAGGAGACCCCCGAAGGGAAACACAAACCTCGAAATGGATTTTCTTTTTCTCCACGAGCAAAAAAAAGTTGAATAAGAAACAAGTTACTATTTTTACTGCTGGGATCCAGTTGTTATGGTAACTGAGGGCCTCGAGGGAGTCAGGGTTGGCCTGCCAGTGAAGGAGATGAGGTGGGTTCCAGGGGCAGCGGTGGCAGCCACCGGACGAGCCTTGGACTACCTACGGACTGTGGGATTTCTGGCACCCCTGCCCCTGGCTCTGCGCCGCCCCCCCCCCCCCTGCCGTGACGGAAGGCCACCGGTGCCCATCTAACCCTGGCCGGTGGCCTCTGGCAACTTCTCCCTTTGGTGCAAGCCCACCATCTCCTGCTGGCTGTGTGGTCTCGGGCTCCCCCCGCCTTGTCGCCGAGCCTGTCCTTCACGGCTCCTGGGGGGGGGGCGGGGTGTCATTGTGCCCTTGTCTCCACATGCAGCTTTCGACCCCCACCACAGTGACCACCACGGGCACCTGAGCGATCAGCCCCACGAGCCCTGCTGGCCAAAACCCAATTCTTCCCTCTGCCATTCCTCTTCCAGCCCCCTCTCCAGAAGGCGGCCCCACACCACCCCCTGGGCCCGGTTGGCCGTGGCTGGAAGCTCTGAACGCGGCCTTCCCAGCATCCGAGGCCGGCCTCCACCTCCACCTAGCTTTGTGCCCTGAACCCAGGTGCTTCCCATTCGAGGCTATTTCCCCACTTGTAAAGTGGAAGTTAACAGCACCCACCCTGCAGGATTGCTGAAGGAACAAAGGCCACCTGGGCCCGATGTTATTACTGGCAATGTGTCTCCCCGTTCAGTCCCCTCTGTAGCACTACATGGTAGGAGGTGCCGTTCCTAATTTGCGGACAAGGAGCCGTGCTCAGGCAGGCCAAGTCCCACAGCAAGCCACACAGCACATCTGTCTGTGCTGAAGTGCCCTGCACTGCATGGGCACTGATTAAACACCTACTGTGTTCCTGGCTCATCAGATGCGCAGAGTGGCAAGCAGGTAGGGAGATAACACCCCCCACCACCACACGCCCACCAACCACCAGAGCTTTTCATCCCTTCCCTAGAGCCCTGACCACGTCACCAGTCTCCTCCCACACGACCGACCTCTGCCATCTGTCCCCAGGACCCAATGGCACCCTCTGATGTGATCCTTCTCCTCCCTCCTAGCGACTTCCATCCCCGATCAGTAGCTACGACATGGGCCCCTATATACGCCTAGCAGTGTCTGCCTGCAAAGTCCTTGTTGTCTCTGGCAAAGCCACAAATCTTCCCTACCAGAGTGACTTTCTGAAACGCAAGTCTGACGAAGCCCTTCTCCCTAAAAGCCTTCAGTGGCTCCCACTGCTTTCAGGATGGAGTCAGGATAGAAAAACGTCCTCACCCACTGTGCACACGCAATAAATGAATCCAAACTCCCCCCAAACATGCATGGCTTTCTCGTGCTCTGTGGCTACACAGATGCTGTTCCCTCTGCCCGGAAGGCCTTTCCTCCTTAGTTTGCCTGGCAGATCTCTATTTATTCTTCCAGACCCAGTTTAAAGTTCTCCTTTGTTGGACCTTTAGGGGAAATGGCTTCTCCTCCCTTTTATGCCACCTTTGGACCAGCGTCCGGGCCCCACGGGATCATCTTGTAGGTACCCACCAGCCAAGGACTACCAGGACCGGTGCCTGTGGTAAGGTTTATCAACGGGCTGCAATTAGGGGGAGGGCCCAATGTGGGGAACTGGAGGGGTCACCATGACGGGCGTTAGGAAGGACTTTCGGCAAAATTTGTACTTGCCTTAGGTACTTAGGGAAGTTCAAGGTAGTGGCACTTTTCTGAGGCCCTCCTTTTTATTGGACACTCAGGGGGCGCCTGGGTGGCTCAGTCACTTAGGCGTCTGACTTCGGGTCAGGTCATGATCTCACAGTTTGTGGGTTCAAACCCCACATCGGGCTCTGTGCTGATAGCTGGGAGCCTGAAGCGGCTTCGGATTCTGTGTCTCCCTCTCTCTCTGCCCCTCCCCCACTAGCACTGTCTCTTTCTTTCAAAAATAAATAAAACTTTAAAAAAAAGGAAAAAGAGGGGCACCTGGGTGGCTCAGTTGGTTAAGCGGCCGACTTCGGCTCAGGTCATGATCTCGCAGTCCATGAGTTCGAGCCCCGCATCGGGCTCTGTGCTGACAGCTCAGAGCCAGGAGCCTGTTTCAGATTCTGTGTCTCCCTCTCTCTGACCCTCCCCGGTTCATAATCTGTCTCTCCCTGTCTCAAAAATAAATAAATAACGTTAAAAAAAAAAAAAAAGGAAAAAGACCTTAGGGGTCAATATGAAAGTGGAGTGCACTCTGCAGACAGGCAGGAACAATTTTTAAATCCTCCATCAGTCCCTTGTGCCACTAGGGATGGGGCAACTCTCTGAAATGTAAACATAATGAAAGCTCAGATATCGACATTGAAGCCGTCTTCAGGCACGGGGCCACCAGTTTGCAAACGTCACTCTTTCACGGCGCCCTCCACTTTCTTTGGGCTCTCGGCCACTCCCTATACCTTCAAATAGTACCTGTATCTGTAGCTTAGCTATAATCTATCTATACATATATGCACGTGTATATATACACGTACGTGTATATGCAGACACTTGTGTATTCTATATACACGTGTATATCTCAGATTTTATAATGTATATTCCAGATTACATGTGATGTATGGTATTAAATAACAAAACTTCAAACCTAGTAAAATTTAAAGATATAATTGGTTTTACTAATCAATTCACGGACCGGGCAGCATTCTATCCAGCAAGCTGAGGGAGGCTCCGCTGGGCTGCAGGAAAGGTTTTTACAGGCAGAGAGAGAATGGAAAAAAAGGACATTATTAGCCAAGAATGCATTATTTTAGACAAGTTTGCCCTCCTCAGGGGAATGGAAAATGTCTATCAGTAGATTTCCTAGTGCTGACCAGGAAATTCCAGGTTGACGGGTTAAAGGTTACTTCGGGGGGGCGGCCGCGGGGAGGCAGTTGAGAGAATAGAACTGCAGTTTGGTTAGGTATTAAGTCCTGGCGTGCTGACCTGGGGCTCTTCACATAAATGACGCCATTTGGGGCCTGTGGTTTTCTTTTTAACAAGGTGCGTGTAGCTGCTGGAGAGCTTGTCCCACCAGGGTCTCCTGTGCCCTGTCCTCCCTCAGAGCTGGGACTCTGACCATCCATTCTTCGTTCAGCCTGCGGTGTACCTGGGCCTGGGGGATACAGGACTTGTCCTGGTCACTGCTCAGCCAAGGAGGCTCCTTTCCAGCTTTGCTGCCCCCGAGCCAGCTTCGCGTGTTCCCGGGAAGGAAAGGAGCAGTTCCCAGGAACCAGCCTGTTCCAGCTTGAGTTCCTGGGAAGCAGGCTCTGAGAGGAGTTTAAGCGCAAGGAGATTGATTAGGTGACTATCCTTGGGGTGGACAGCAGCGGCAGGGAGGGAAGAAGCGGCGAGGGGCCCAGCCTTTCCCTGGGCCCCTCCCTGCCTCTCTGGACAGTGGCTTCAGCAGATGCAGAGGGGAGTCCCATCCACCGGTCAGCGGGCACAGCTGTGGGAAAGGGGTGCGGCGTGGGTGAGGCCAGCGCCTCCTCTGACCAGGCCTCACTGCTCTGAACTGTCCGGGCTCTCCCTGGGTCCCCTGCACTCTCGTCCCAGCCTCTCACCTCCTCCAAGCGAACCCTTCTTTCGTCTGCTCCACTCATGACTTAGCGAGGAATCGACATCCTGAGCCTCCAAAGCAGCAGAGGTGAGAGCAGGAAGCTGACTGCAGAAGGAGGTGTGCGGGGGCCAGATCACGGGTCGTCTGTTCTTTGCCTTGCAGACACCCCTCATCTCAGCACTGCATGCCCAGGAGTGACTGTCCAGATCCCGGAGGAGGAGGAAAGGCTCCCAAGTTACACCTGCATTTGCAGAAGGCCCAAGGGCATCATTCAAAGGACTGGTTAGGGCTGGAAAGAATCTCTTAAAGGATGAAGCCAGATTCAAATCCAGGCCCTCCACTGACTTGGAGAGCCCAGAGCGAAAACAAACACACACAAAAACAACCAAGCAGGTAATCTCAGTACTGATAATCTAAGCCAGCAGGAGAAGAATCAGTGGAATACCAAATATTTTCCTAGAGGATGAGGTGACTCCCCCACGTTAGGTTACCGTCCTCCGGCTTTTCATTTAAAAATTTTCCCTGGGGCACCAAGGAGAAAATATCATTTTCAAAATATTCACAAAATCTGGTGTGATGTAGTAAGTAGATTTCAAAACTCTGTCTTTGTTTTATAAGTGCAAGAAACACAAAACTTAATCTAATGTTAAAAAGACAGGGGACCAAAATGGCGTCACTTAGGTTAAGAGCCTCAAGTGAGTAAACCAAGACTTAGTACCTAATATCCAACTGCATTTTCAAATCTCCAGAAATGTAACCTTTAACCCTTTCAAAAGTGGCGAGTTTCTCAGTCAGCGCTAGGAAATTTACTGAACAGACCCCATCCATCCCTTGTAGAAGGGTGACCTTGCCGAAAACAATGGATTCTTTGCTAATAATTTCCTTTTTCTACCCCCTGTCTTGAAACGCCTTTCCTTTCCTGGAGCCTTTTGGAGCCCCCCTCTACTTGCTGGAGGGGATACTGCCTGAGACCTGAATCGATTCAGAAAGCCAACTAGATGTTTGAATTTTACTCCGTTGAATTTTTGTTATGTAACTCTAGACAGGTACTGATTGTGCTTTTCCCAGGGCTCATGACTTTGGAGCAACTGATCTGAATGTTGCCAACTCACAGAGCACCTGGATGGGGAAGGAGGAGGCTGGGGGCCCAGGCCTGCTCCTGCTTCTGTCAGATATGTTACCTCAACTCACACCCTCTACCTGAGCCTCAGGTTTTTCACCTCTAAAAGACAGGGATTCCAGCTCTAAAGCTGTAAATTAAGATATCACAATAACGGGGTGATGGGTGTCTCAGTCGGCTGAACATCCGACTCGTGATTTCTGCTCAGGTCTTGATCTCAATGGTTCGTGGGTTCAAGTCCCGCATCGGGCTCTGCACTGACAGTGCAGAACCTGCTTGGGATTTCTCTCTCTCCCTCTCTTTCTGTCCCTCCCCTGCTCTCTCTCTCAAAAATAGATAGATAGATAGATAGATAGATAGATAAAAATAAACCCAAGGGGTGCCTGGGTGGCTTAGTCAGTTAAGCGGCCGACTTTGGCTCAGATCATGATCTCACGGTTTGTGGGTTTGAGCCCCACATGGAGCTCTGTGTTGACCGGGTGGAGCCTGCTCGGGATTCTGTCTCCCTCTGCTCTGTGCTGACAGCTCAGAGCCTGAAGCCTGCTTCGGAGTCTGTGTCTTCCTCTCTCTCTGCTCCTCCCCCTCTGTCTCTGTCTTTCTCAAAAATGAATAAATCTTAAAAAATTTTTTTTAATACGTAAACTTTAAAAAAATATATATCACAATACCGAAAGAAGAACAAAGTTGGAAGAATCACACTACATGATTTCAAGATTGACTATAAAGCTGCCGTAATCAAGACATTACGGACGTTGGGAAAGAAGCAACACATAAATTAGCTGCAGAAAATGTAAAGAGTCTAAAAATAGGCCCTTCGATTTTTGACAAAGACGTCAAGATAATTTAATGGAGAAAAAGACAGTCTTTTCGACACATGGTGCTGGAGAAATTTGAAATTCATATGCCACAGAAAATTGTCCTTTTCCTTTGTCACTGTACAGGCTTCAGTGGTTTCCAGGGGCTGGGAGGCAGGGGTGGGCAGAAGCTGGCCACAAAGGGACACAAGGAATTTGGGGGGATGATGAAACGTCTATATCCTGCTTGTAAGGGTAGTTCCATGGCTGTATAAATCGGTTAAAACTCATACACCTGGGGCGCCTGGCCGTTCAGTCAGTTAAGTGTCCAACTCCTGATCTCAGCTCAGGTCACCATCTCATAGTTTGTGAGTTCGAGCCCCACGTCAGGCTCTGCACTGACAGCGTGGAGCCTGCTTGGGATTCTCTCTCTCTCCCTCTCTCTCTCTTTCTCTCTCCCCCTCCCTCTTTCTCTGCCCCTCCCCCAATTATGCTACCCCCCCAAAATAAATAAACATAAAAAAAAAAACCTCACACAACTGTACACTCAGTAAGAGTGAATTTTGCTATATTTAAATTACATTTCAGGGGCGCCCGGGTGGCTCGGTCAGTTTAAGCGTCTGACTTCAGCTCAGGTCGTGATCTCACGACTCGTGAGCTCAAGCCCCGCGTCGGGCTCTGTGCTGACAGCTCAGAGCCTGAAGCCTGCTTTGGATTCTGTCTCCCTCCCCTGCTTGCCCTCTATCTCTCAAAAATAAATAAATATTGGGGCGCCTGGGTGGCGCAGTCGGTTGAGCATCCGACTTCAGCCAGGTCACGATCTTGCGGTCAGTGAGTTCGAGCCCCGCGTCAGGCTCTGGGCTGATGGCTCGGAGCCTGGAGCCTGTTTCCGATTCTGTGTCTCCCTCTCTCTCTGCCCCTCCCCCATTCATGCTCTGTCTCTCTCTGTCCCAAAAATAAATAAATGTTGAAAAAAAAAATTAAAAAAAAAAAAAAAATAAATAAATATTACAAACATTTTTTAAATAATATATTACATTTCAGTTAAATTGAAAAGACCTACAATATACATAACAATTTTTTTAAAAGGCTCTATCATTTGTACCTGCCATGTGTGTATATGGAGGAGAGAGAAAGAACAATCATGTGGTGTGTGTAGGCCCAGTTATTGCTAGAGGTGAGGATTATAAGCTTTAACTAACATTAGAAATGTTCGGTGTTCAAATTTTCTTTTTTTTAATTTTTTTAATGTTTATTCATTTTAGAGAGAGAGAGAGAGAGACAGAGCATTGAGTGAGGGAGGAACAGAGAGAGAGGAAGACACAGAATCTGAAGCAGGTTCCAGGCTCTGAGCTGTCAACACAGAGCCCGACACGGGGCCTGAACCCAGGAACCACGAGATCATGACCTGAGCCGAAGTCCGATGCTTAACCGACCAAGTTACCCAGGCGCACCCAGTGTTCAAATTTCTAGGAGCTGATCACCAGCTCTGACGTTCAGCCCTGCTCTCATCGGGGCTTCTCTAACATGCCCAGGCTGTCGTCCGTCCCTGTCCCACTTACCCAGCCCCTGATGACAGGACACCCCTGATCCCAGGCCTCCCAAGAGGGTTCAAAGCCCAGGATCCAGCCTTGGAGGGTCCCTTTGGGTCCAATGTCTGGGCCTTGCTGGCCTCTTGTGGCCAGAAGCAGAATTATCACATCATGACACATTAAAAATGACAAATCTGGGAGTGGGCTCAATCTTGAAGTAGCTGGGGGCAGAGAACCAGCTTGCTCACCCACTTTCCTGGGGGTATAACTTAGAGCGACCTTTTCAGCAATACATGTCAACATGTAGAATGCACGGAGCTCTGACCCATTGACCCCAGCTCTGGAAATCACAGATGATACCCTCTTGCCAAAATGTGTTTCCTCTAGTTCTAAGTACAAGGGATAAGAGGAACATTCTCATCCTCGTGTTACATGAAACCACAGGAAGGTAATCAGCCGAATCCAAAATGTGGGGCCATCTGTAGGACAACAGATCCTGTCCCTGCAAAAAATGGCCTGGCATAAAAACTGGGAGCGGGGAGACTGTTCTGATAAAAAAGAGATTTCCAAGATCAGAGGTTATATAATATAGCCAATATAATCCAATGTATTATACATCCAATAT